TCATAGCAGGACCATGACACAGATAACAGCCAAGCAAACCTCTGCAACCCCGTGTGAGTGTGGTAAAGGAGAACTAACTAAAGCCCCTCTTCCAGTTTAGATGACACAGGGAGGCCACAGAGCAGCAAAACAATGTGAATTCTTGATGCTGACTTTTCTCTTGTTAAACACCAGTTGGAATTTATGTTTAAGGCTGGAGGGTCTCCACTTGATCCTTACTTTGGTCAAATTTCTGTGAGGGAATTCTCACTGCATCCCTCCCTTCTCATTCCAGGTAAAAAACCATAGGGCTGTGTCCTGATTATTAGGAAACCTGGGCTCATATCTGCTTTAGTCCCCGATGTTACAGCTACAGCCTTCCATGGAGATACGCAGGGGTTGTTCTGTGATGGGTGGCAGTGGGAACTCAACCAAAGGAGGACCCAGAAACCCTGATGACTTGAAGCAAGATGCAGAGGAGACAATCAAGGGGAACACCAGTCTAGGTGAGCAGAGGAACAAATCAAACAGGGTTTAACATGACCTGCTGCTGCTCCACATGCCATACTATCCATGACCATCATCTGCTGCTACCAGTCCATCTGCAATGGCCAGGACCTTACCACAGTGGCTGGGCAGCAGTGCCCAGGGCCATTCCTGTACCATAGGAAACCACTGTATTTCCCAACAATGCTCTATATGAACGTTCCTTCCTCAGTTGACAGAACCAATCTGCCAGAACGTTAATGAGAAGCTAACGAAGGGAGCCAGGCTAATGCAAAACAGTAATGAAGATTAATCTCTCCCCGGAGAGGAGGATGACATGCCTTCTCAGAGACCTAGTGCACCACAACGGCATCTGGAGGGTCAAAAGTGGGTCAGTGAAAGCTAATTAACAGCAAATCTCTCTCTCTCGTTCTTAATTATGGAGTGGTGAGCAGGGATTTCAAATAAGCTGCTCGGTCCATTCTACCCACTGAATTCCCAAACTGCGAACCATAAGCCATGCAGGAATTCGATGGCATACATGGACATAGGTGTCTCAACTGGGAAACAACCAGAGCCAGGGAGGCTGGGGCAGCCTGGCCTTCCTTTCCTGACAGCAACTTGAAGTCTTGGTTCTGGAAGATGCATTGGATGACTTTCTGTGTAACACAGCACAGGACCTCAGTAGGGTCCTGCCTACTCACTAGAGTAGCAAAAGATTCCTGAGAAGGAATTTCAGGTCAGGTGGAGATTTCTCCTCAACAACAAGCTCCTGGCACCCCTCCAGCAGCCTTTGGAATCAGTTCTCCTACACTACAGCTCCCTGATGGACAGTCCATCGCCAGAAGAGGTTAGATTTGTATGTGCTTTCAAGGCATGGCTTTAACAAGTCTGTCAGAGGGCCTCATCAAGGGCTATTACCTGCAGAGATCTTACTAGCAGTCTGAAAACTCCTCAGAACAGAAGCAGTATGGGAAGAGCCTGCAATGCTGGAGAGCCTTGCCATTTGGGAACTTGACTGAGTTCCATTGCTCACTTCCACTGTGGCCTTACCTCACTTCAGCCCCCTCACCTTGATTACTGACCCACCACACGAAGACACTTTGGTGTCAGACAGTGTAGCATCCAGGGCAGTGCTCCTGTCTGTGGTGTTTGTGGGTCTGTGCTCCTTGTGCCTTTGCCAGACCTTCAAGACACGACCATCATACCCATGTGATGAAGATGCTTCCGCTCTTCCTTTGCCTGCCCTGGGTAAACCCACTCAACAGTGAAAAAAAGCCAACAATTCCCCTGGGCCACCCTGTGCTGAGAGGGTGAATTGGAGAAGAAAGCACCAAGCTTTGCTGCTCTGGAGGAGCCATAAAGCAGCAAGCACTTAGGATTCCTGTCTTGCCTGGCTGGAGCCCAAGTGGAAGCAAATCCTCTGCAGGCAGGGCTGTCCTGCCAGCTCCATGATCTCACAGAGGGAAAACACGCTGGGGCTAAAGAAGAATCAATGACTTTGCACATCTTTGCAAGGCTGCATTCAGAGAGGTGACTGGCACTGGAATTGCCCTACTTACCGCAAAAGCAGTGACAGTGCCACCACCGCAGCAGGGGATAGACAGACTCCAGGCCTCGTTTCAGCCCTTGTGTTCTAATTGGAGCAGGCTGTGCTGCCAGCAAGAAAACAGGATCCTGTACAAGATCAGAGGTACATGTATCCCACTACGCTTTCAAAGGTGAGCCATCTGCTCCACAACTGCATTTAACTCTTGCTTGGCTGACATCCACAGCACCAATCCATGCACTCTGCCTATGGTAGGATAGAGGTGGAGGCTGGGAGCAAATCATTAGGCTGCAAAGATTTCCGGTGGTTCTTCAGTTGGGGACACAGCAGCACCTTCTGCTGGAAGCGTTGGTGTCTGGGCAAACCCTTCCCCTTTGAGAAACGTGCAGCTTTACTGCTGGATAAACAAGAGTCACTTTGCACATCGGCAAACAAACCATCCTAACCCAGTCTGACCTGTCCCATGGGATTATCTGCCTGCCCTCTCACACTTCATGCTGGACACTTCCATTGCTCACACAGTTAGATGTCCCCTCCAGGCGGTGTTGGCCAGGATTATGGGACAGAGCTGCCATGGTTAGGTGACGTTGTGCTCCTGCAGGGGCTCATGCTGGGCTCCAGCATGAACAGAGACTGAACTGGGGCTGGCTCAGGCTGCAGGTCTCTGTCTACAGGCAATCTGTGCCTCTTGCTTGCTAGGAACGTGCTGCCCAAGCTCTCATTTAAACATCTAAATAAAATTCTTCAGGTATTCTGCTAAGCTGAGCATTTAAAGGAAGTACATACCCACCTCCCACTGATAGCAGAAGGACTTAGGCACCTAATTTTGCTAGGCCCCTTCGAAAACCCTGGATTTCAACGCTCAAAGGTCTGCTCTAATTAGCCAATTCATCACCCATATCATATGTGTGCTCTTAAATGATTGACAGTAGAGCTACCTTACAGTGATTCACCTTCTTCTGACTCACAGTCATTTATTTGCACTATTTCCAGCACTGGAATTTGAAACAATGATACATGTTTTCCATACATTCACAGAAGAATTCATAAACACCATGAATGCATGACTTCATGTCCAGCCATGCCAGGCTCTCCTAACTTCTCCACCAAATAAAAACAAACAGATTGTTCTGAACTGTAGGTGTGCTGAATCAAGCCTAGAGAGATATTAATCCAGGGAAAACCTCCTTTTCCCCATTTTTAAGGCAAATTCCAGCAATGTGAAGGCTATCAAGCTCAAAGAAAAAAAAAAAAACATTTCCTCTTTAATACAAACTTAGCTCCTCCTGGCTGGTCTTGGCTTGTGCTTCTACAGTGTGAAGGAGGGAATTCTTAGAGGGCTGAAAAAGCCTTCCTGGCTCTACAGTGCTTTTTGAGTTTACAGGTGCCCCACAGCTGGTGCCAGCTATGACACAGCTGTGTCCCAGCACACGGCATCAAACAGCTCTCAGCAAGGTCCATACAAGCCATCTCCAACTGTGACACAAGGCTCTGGGCCCTTCACATTTACTTCTTCCAATATTGTCCAAACTTCATCCTGGTGACCCAACACCCCAGAGCCCACAGAGAGTCACTTTCCCTTAACAATCAGGTGCTTCAGCAGGGACGTCTGCCTGACAAAACCAAAACAGCAGGGGAATGATTTCAGCTTCTAAATCCAACCATCAACTAAAGTGTATTTTACACTTTATTGTAAAACCCCTTGCCCATCATCATTAGGTGCTTGGCCACAAGGCCACTGAAGTCACAGGGTGATGGCATACAGGAGGCAAGGTACTGGGACATTAGCAGATTTGTATGCGTTTAAACTAAACCTTTTATCTCAGGATACATCACACCATTTCTAGATAAGAACCAATGGAGATAAAAGTGCTAACTTGAATCTTAAGCCAGATCATTGCCCCTGGTTTTAGCTGAATGCAGAATTAGGGAAGTCTCTCCCAGAGCCTGACTCTGAATCACTCTTCAAACTCTGAATCACTTGGTTTTAGCTCAGCCACCAGCTCCAGCTAAGGGCAAAATGACCATGTGTAGTTCCCCCAGGGAAATACTCATTGGCTGCAAAACCGCCTTGGAGCCTTCCCACAAGAGAGGAACTGAGATTGCTCCAGCTGTGCCGGTCTGAGGGTGCTGTGGTGGGAAGCAGCAGGGTGCTGCAAGAACAGCCAGCCCTGGGACAGGGTGGCTTTTTGGGTTTCAGTTTGGCTCTACACACCCTGAAGAGAGACCCTCAGGCTCAGTGAAACCCAAGGGGCCACAAGCTCTGTGTTAGGCCTCTTAGGCACATTAACCCTTTACAGCACTCAGTGCCACTGGTCAAAAGGGTTTCTTGGGAAAGGAAAGAGGGTTTGGTGCCAAGAAGATCAATCTTCCTTGAGCCATACCAGCAGAAGGCTGGCCAGGGAGCAGTTGCCATATGAGTCCAGTCCAGGATAAGATCAGGACCATAAAGTGGTCCAGCTCAAGACAAGCCCTGTCAGAGCTGTTCCACAACTGCTCTGTCTCCAGCTCCTGCTGTCTCACATTTTCTCTACTCCTTGCAAGCAGAGCAATTGGATGGTCACAGCTGGGAGCAGAAAGGAAGTTGCTTAAAAACTTCAAGTCCCAGCAACCATAAACAAACCCCAAACCATTGCTGAGTACTATGATGGGTGAATAAATCACACCACTTCCCTACAAGTCAACATAGAATTCCAGGTGGCACTAGGTCAACATCTGAAACTCATAACTCCTCCTCCTTGCTTACATATCTGCAGCAAAGCTTCCCAGGAGGTGATCCAGTGGATCCAGCCATTCCCTACATGATGGTAATGACTGAACCCCCAGTATATGGTCTATCAAACAGGGACAACACTGGCTGTGTGCTTTAAAGTGAGGTTCTGCTTAAGCACTTAATTGGGCTTTACTGTTTAGAAATAATTTGTCCAAAGCACCTAAGAGGTTATAGGATCCCACTTCGGCTGCTCACTGTGGCTCAGGCTAAGGTGGTCATTGGAAGCTGTTCTCAAGGTGGTTTGAAACTCTCTGCCTTCATTTCAGTTTTCTAGAGGTCATTATGGGAGATTTGTGAGGGGAAAGGAATGTTTTTTGGACACATGATTGAGTGGGATAAATAACAACTAGTGAAACATGAGGATAAGTATCAAACTGATGAAAAGCTATCCAAGCTGAACAGAACTAAATATAAATGAAACCTAGCTCTAAGTCTAACGAACAATTGCTTCACAACTGTTCCTAAATCATCCTAAAAAACCCAAAACCAAACAAACAAAAAAGCCAAACCAAAACAAAAACACTACAAACCAAAAAACAAACAAACAAAAAACCCAAAAGTAACACTTTCAAAACTACAGAATGTTTTAAAAATAAAAACGTTAAGGGGGAAAAAAAAGAAAATCATTGTACAGATTCATTTAGGCTGTGCATGGAAAATAAGTCCAAGCTCTTGCTTCCCTCCAGTATGCATTGTAAGAAATCCCCCAATCACTTTTTTCCCCACTGAAGCAGGTTATGTCTCTCCCTTTGTCTCCTGGACACTGAGTGCTCAGCCAACACTAAGGACAGCCAAATGTAATTTAGCCAAGTTCACACCTTCCACTCCAAAATCTGTGATCTCTGCATCAGCCTTCTGTGTGGTAAGGAGGGCCACAAGAGGCCAAATGCACCGTTTGGTAACAGACTCTCCCTTTTCTGGGCTTTTCTCAGCTTTTTCTTCTTCCCATGGTGGCATCTCCCAGCTTTGAGGCCCCATTTGTACTGTGAGCACATGGCACCTCACGGCCAGGACGCGGCTGACATGGCTGAATTTCGCACAAATACAATTTTAAATGCAAAAGCAGGTTCTTAAAAAAATAGAGCAACCCCTCAAGGTCCCAGACTGTGTGATGGATACTGGCCCTGCACTTAAGTGTCTTGCTGAATCAGGGCCATGGCCTATCGATCACAATGATACATTAGTGATGTCATTTTCTCAGAAATGATGATGGAGTCTGGATCTTGGCCAAGACTATTCGACACATACAGGGACAACAGTCCCAACAACAGTCCATGGATTTATTCCCACTGCCCCAGGCCAGATAACACACCTTTACCTGCCCTATGGGCTCAGCATGGTGGGCCCATGGGGTTGGCACAACCTTGCCTTGCCAGTGGCAAATGTGAGCAAGGAAAACTGGTGCTAATTGCAGGTGGACTGTGCAGAGGGTTATAGCTGGGCCTGCCGTGGTATAAACTGGCAGGTGGCTGAACAAAACACAGCTGCTTGCTCGCTCCCCCCACAGGGCGAGAGAATTAGGAAAAAAAAGTAAAATTCATGGGTAGAGATAAAGACATTTTAACATCACATAAATAGAAGGGATAATAGTAATTTAAAAAAAAAAAAAAAAGATATACAAAGCAACTGCTCACCACCCACTTACCAATGCCCAGCCAGTTCCCAAGCAGTGGCCATGGGCCAGCTTTCCCACATTTCATACACTGAGCATGGTGCCACATTATCTGGAAAATCCCTTGGGCCAGGTGGGGTCAGCTGTCCTGGCTGTGTCCCCTCCCAGCTTCTTGTGCCCCTAAACCTCCTCACTGGTGGGGTGAGGAGCTGAAAAGTCCCTGACACTGTGCAAGCCCTGTTCAGCAATAACTGAAACATCAGTGGGTTATCATAGAATCACAGAACGATTTGGGTTGGAAGAAACACAAAACATCATTTAATACCAACCTCTCTGTCATGGGCAGAGACCCTTTTCAGTGGACCAGGTTGCTCAGAGCTCCATCCAACTCAGCCTTGAACAATTCCAGGGATGGTGCATCCACAACTTCTCTGGGCAACCTGTGCCAGCGCCTCGCCACTCTCGCAGAGAAGAATGTTTTTCCCAATGTCTAATCTAACCCTGCCCTCTGCCAGTTTGAAACCATTCCCCCTGGTCCTGTCACTACATGCTATTGCAAAAATTACCTCTCCATCTTTCTTGTTATCAATATTATTCTCATTCTAAATCCAAAACACAGCACTTTGCCAGCTGCTAGGAAGAAAATTAACTCTATCCCAGCTGAAACAAAGATACTGGTCACTAAACCTCACTTAAATAATAAAAATTATTTAGTTAGCATCAATCAAGTAAAATCATTAGCAAACATTCTAACAGCTGTACAGAAAGGTTGCAAGGGAAACTCTATTTCAGATCCAAATTATGGCTCTGGCACCATTCTCACTGTATATGTTTAATACCACCAGTGCCTTAACATTCAGGGCCAGTTGCCTACATTGAATGAATCTCAAAGACTGTAGCTTGGTGCCTGCCAAGCACCGAGCATGGCTCTGCTCTCAGTGTACCAGGCAGAGCTGTGGCAGAAGGAAGGGCCATCATGCAGAGGATGGTGTTTCTCTCTGGTGCAAAGGCTGATCCAAAACCAGAGGCACGGCCACTTTGCCTCCCCTTGGCCAGCCCCAGGAACACACAGAGCACACAGCACGAGCAAGGTGACACCTTAGGGCTGTACTGTGTTGTAAATGCTGAGCAGGGTGAGCAGAGAGGGGGAAGAATATTCTGTGAGAGGAGAGGCAAATGTCTACGGACTGTGCATTCAACATTGCAGTGGCAAGAGCTGCTTTTATTGACATCTGCCATTTTCATCACTGCATATGGAAATAGAGGAAAAGAGATGTTCTAAACCAGCATCCAGATGAGGTCCTGGGAAGCTGCACTCTGTGCCAGTGTACCTGTCCTGAAGCACCTGAGTCACACAGTGATGCATTTACTCAAAGTACAGGACGTTTCCCTTCTCCTCCCTCTTGCATCCTTTCCTCAAATCCATTTTCAAGCCACACAACTTTCTGTCATCCACCCATATGAGCCCATTGCCAGGGTGAGGGTTCATTTGTGATTTTTAGGGGACAGCAACCTCCCCCAGTTTCCCCAGGAGCTGTATGGATTTCTCCAGGAGTTAACTCCAGGAGATCCAGGCACCTGGGCTGACACAGCACCTTGTCAACATGCCCTTCTCAGAACCAACCAACTTCCCCATTCACATCCTGGAGGCTGCCCTGACTCAAAGCTGGTTCATGTTCAGTGCTCTGCTCAGCTCTGCCGTGCTCAGGTTAATGATGCAGGAGAGCAGTCGGGTGTGACTGCAAAGGAAGGGGAGAATGTGCTCCTAGCTTTTCCAAAACAGTTAATCATTAACCCCTTTCATGGTCACAGAAGGTGCTGGCCTCCTTACAAGCTCCCCTTATCAGCCATAATTATTTCCTGATCCGCTCTCCCCTAACTACCTGGCAGACTTATGCACAACACCCCTGAATCACCTGACTGCATTTATTGCCCTATATTCCAAGCCAAATGGGTCTCTGCAGTGTCAGCTGCAATATTCCAGCATGTTATTTCTCCCTGCCCATGCCCAAACATAAAAGCTGTTTTGCCCCCCACCCTGCCCTTTACATCATCCCTCCTTCTGTGACAAAGCAAAACAGAACAGTCATCTAAATACCTCAGCACTTCTTCCCCAAATGCAACAGATCCTCTCACCTACAGCCCAGGAGGGTATTACTGCCATCTCTCTTAGGTCTACTTTAATTTTTCAATCATTTTCATTCTACAGATATTGCCTAGATATCTAAATCAATGTATTTTTATTTTTTGACAAAGAATAGCTCCCCTCCCTAGAGAAGAGAGATGTAAATCCAAATGATAGACCTAAACCTGACACCCACATGGTGTGTTATTTGCCATGTCAGAGGCTGCTTCCTGGGGAGGACAGTTCAGAGTGACCAGCTTAACTCTGTTATTGAATAAAAATGGATAGAGTACTCTGACCAGCAAGGTTGGTCTGAAGAGATAAAGTCAAACCCTCAAGAAGTGAACTTATTGCACCTTTAAAAAACAGGTATAAATTCAGGTAAATAAACACCTCAGTTAAGTAGAAGCTGTATAATCTATAAATAGCACATGCCTATGTAACACTTGTGTTGTACAAGAACTTAATATCAAAACATATACAGAAAGGAACAGAGGTCTCCAGGCACACAGAGGGATAACTGAGAAATGTAAACATGGTATTTCATGATCAAATTAATTTTCTCAGGGAGACAATATCACCTACAAAAAGAAATAAAAGTGCAACAAAGGGCATTTTTAAGTATAGGAGAAAAAACTGGTTTAGGGAAATTCAAAACCACAACAGGAGCAGGGGATGCACACGGAATAACCCCAGGGGCAGATTACACTGCTGTTACCAGCACCAGTGCCTGATACAAGGCTGACTTCACACCCAGAAGGTTACAAGGCTGTTCTGAGACACTTGCAACCTACCACCCAAAACAACGCTTCCCCTTTCTTCCTAGCATAGCACCGACGTAAGGCAGCCAGTAATTCAGAGAGTTCTCAAATACAACCGAGAATTTTGAAATGCTTTGCTCTGCTTGTCTTGGTTGCTGCAGTCAGGCCACTTCTAAGGCCAACCAAGCAGACTGTGCTCCAAAGGGATATTGGCCATGCTCTGAGTGTATAAAATCAAAAGTGTCTCCCTGCACATGCAGTTCTCCACTTTCTGGGCATGTCCAGTGCTTCACTCACTTGCTCTCACAGTCACCCATCATTTTTCTCAGGGTTGCTACTGACAGTGCTTTAAAATTGCCAGCTCAAGGCTCAGGAATGGGTCACAAAGGCAGGATCTCAAAGTATTACTGAAAAGATAGAGAAAAGGAAGGTAAAACCTTCCTTTTTTAAGGCCACCATGAAAAAATGGCCCTGTCATGCGCCTAAGTCATGATTTCTGGGGAGGAATGTCTCATCACCCTCTCTTGGAAAGGATAGTATGGAGAAGAAGAATGGACTGACAAGTGATTTTGCATACTGCTCAGCCCCTTTGTCTGTGTGGGAGGATGCCTCAGCTCAGAAAAGTCATAGCACAGGAGGTGACCGAGGTCTGTAGAGATATAAAGGGCAGAAAACTGATTAAAACACAAGTGTTCAGTCTCCTCACAAAAAGGAAATAAACAAAACAAAACAAACAAAACAAAACGAAAACCCAAACAAAACCAAGCAAAAATTCAGATCAAACTGCAAAACCAGAACCCCTGCAATAACAGAGTGCACCAAAGAAACATCAGGATGCTGATGCCAGCAGATGGGACCATGGGCCAGAGGTTATGCTGGAGGAAGGATCACACTACAAACAGTTTCTCTCTTATGCTCTGCCTAAGCATGTATTACTAGTTCCAGTCCAGGACAAGGTATTAGGTTAAGGTGAGCCTTTGTCCAGAGCCAGTACAGATGCTCCACCAGTGGGGCATAAGCTGAGAGCTAATCTTGGAAAACAAGCCATGTTCCACCCAGAGAAATACCCAGAAGTAATTCTTGGAAATTGTTCATTTGATTTCTTTCAACCTTTTATGTCAGACCCTCTTCCTGCTGTTTTCTTTCAGTTTTTGGTGTTGGGTTTGGGGGTTTTTTGTTGGTTTTTTGTTTGTTTGTTTTGGTTTTTGCTTTTGGGGTTTTTTTTTAAGCATTAAAAAACCAATAGATTTTAAATTGTAGTGAAATACGCTGCAATCAGCAGCCCTGCAGGTTGATGTCAGATGTCTGTCCACAAATAATCCCCAAGTCCCCCTTTACTGCTGCCTGTCCATGTGCCCTGACCCTTAACTAAAGAGGTCTCTTCTAGAGCAAGCCCTGAGCTCATTCCCTGTGGTGCCTTCAGTCTTTGGCCGCTCTGCCAAGAACGCCAACACCAGTAGCTATTACAGAAGTCACTCACTGTGACATGATGTCCCTTCCATGGGGCAGGCAAGTCAAACCACTCCTGCAGGACCCACTGGAGTGGGGAAGTCACCACAAAGCAGAGCCCAGCTCGCTTTTCCCTGCCCAGCACGTCTCGCTCTGTCATTACGACACCGCAGCTTGACCCAACCATTGAACTGCCTAATGCAACAAGATGATTGCAATCAGCAGCCGTGGAAATTATTAGCACCATTCTTTCCATTTTTAATGTAGTTTGAGAGACTTAAATCAAATCTGATGAGGGACAAAGTAGCCAGGGATGAATCCGTGCAGGAAGCAGTAAGCATGTTACCTGTGCTGCAGTTATGCCTCATGTCAGTGCCCCTAAGAGTCTGTTACCAGAGAAGCTTCAACAACTTTTTAGAGGGTATCTTGGCACTACCAGACTGCACAGGGAAAGCTAAAGCTGTGCATTCTGAGCTCCATTCTTTTATTGAAATCTACCTCCCTGCTCAACTGACATAGATAGTGTTGACCTGTCTCCTGTAGGTCCAAAAAGGATGCTACGTTCTTGGTTTTCAGTGGATTTCTGCATAAAGTTCCCCCTGAAGACAGATTTAGGTACCTGGCCTTTAGCAAATACCTATGTCTTCCCGTTCAGCACTTACTGAGCTGTTGCTGGGACACATTCCCAAGGCTGCAGTTCCTGGTTCTCTGCAGGCGTGGGTGGGAGCTTGCTGGTTTTGCCAGCTTGGAGCCTGTGCCCGCCAGCCCCGGGGCATGCAGGGCCCTTCACCCCCATCAAGCTTCATCTTGCCCATCCGCTGCTCAGCCTTGTTTAACCACAGTGAGGGAGGCAGGAAATTGTTTCCTGCCTTCTGAGAAACATTTCATGGAACTGGAAAAAGTTTATCACAGTACTTTCCTGAAGGAGGTTTTGGTTCTCAGGTAAGTTTTCTTTTCCAAAATCTAAGTGAGTCACATATACATCCCCCCGCAAGAAATCCCACATGGGGCAGTGGAGATGTGGGAAAAGCTGGGTTTTGGTTACAAAAACCTGTTCTTACACACACTCCCTCCAAAAGTCCTGAAATGTCCTGGCAGAAATTAGCTGGGTTTGGAACACCCATATCTATAAAAAAGCCCACGCTTCCAATGAAAAAAACCAACAAAACAAAACCAACCATCCAACAAACAAACAAACAAAAAAACAAAAGAGAGGCTCCTGTGTTGCTTTACGCTCTGAACCGAGCCAAGAGATGGGGCTGGTGAGTGAATCACACCCCAGTGCAGCTCGTGGACCAGATTAAATTGCTGCCTCCAGCTCACACGTGTGTCCTGAAGACACTTCCAGGCGTTTCTCCTCCTACCTACCCGAGCTGCGGCTCCCAGGCTGCACCCTGTGCTAAGCTGCCATGGCCACTCAGTGCCCGGAGGGGATCCCCACTGCTGGCACAGACAGATGGCACCAGTCACATCCATTCCCCGTGGCACAGCCGGCCTGTCAGCGCCAGTGACAGCTCCGCTGTGACGGCTCTCGCAGCCAGCGCCCGGAGCGCACCCAGCGCTGCCAAACAGGGACAGAGATCTGCGACTGCCTTTGCTTTGCACCTCTAAAGCCACAGTGGTCACTTTCTTATGAGGAAAAAGCTTCCACTCCATTTGCCAGGTCAGGATTTTGCATTTCCCCATGTCTGGCTCTTTCTATTCACAAAAAAAACCAACCCACCCTTCCTACTACAAGCCATATAGGAGGTCACGTGCAAAGCCCTGGGACTCCAGCTCCCAGAAGAGAGCACTGGAAGGCAAAAACAGGGAAACAAACTATTAATATGATTTTTATCTTTTGCACAGGGGCTCCACCCTCTCTTTCAAGACCATGCATTTAGATAATGAGAAACAGGGTATTCCCACCCCTCACACACAATCCCCTTTTTATTCCCTGTGCAATGAGGAATTGAGACATTAGACTTTCTCAACCACTTCCCACAAGAGCTGACTCTGGCTTTGACTTTGATAATCCAGCTTGACTGATCTTTCTCCGGCAGTGGCAGTGGCGTCAGCAGCCAAAATGATGGATGGGCTTTACAGCTCAAACAGCCTTCCGGAGAGCTGCTTGAAGTGTCTAAAACTAGCAATTTAGGCTTTCTCACATTCCTAAGCCACGAGACGTTCATGGGGACCTTTTTTCTTTTCAGTTAGCTTTGAAACAGGAGCAAAATGAAAAGGGTGAGACCCTCAAGTAGCTATGCTGCACCTATTGCTAGAGAGAGGAAAGGGAATTATAATGACTGGGAAGCAGCAGCAGCTGCCCAAATTTTCTACCATCCCAAATTCCTGATGACTTTGGCTCATACATTGCTTTTCTAGTTTCTCTCCTTTATCTGAATTTTAAATCCAGGTGTCCTGGGCCACATGTGGCAGGAGTGAATGTTACTGCCTACAGATAGAAATTGAAGGCAGGAGACACAGGAAGACAAACAGTTGAGCTGCCACAAAAGACAAAATGTCATCAGCACAGTCACTGTGCATCCTGGAAAGATGCATACTAGTAATTTCTGGCAGTTAGAGGCATTGCAGCTGTCAGGTCACAGTTTCAGATAACCTGAGAAAGACTGAACAGAATATGGGTTTATCTCTGTCATCAGTGGATCTGCGATCACTTGAGTAATGTAACAATGGCTGAACCTTTAAGAGTAGTCAGATTGATAGTCCCCATTAAGATGCTCATCAAAAGCCACTAAAAACCTACTGATTTATGGTTACCAGCAGGAAAGTTTTGTTAGAGGCAGTTATATTTTTCTTCTTCAGCTTTCAGAGGTGCTTTTGTAGAAGTTTCACTGTTTAAGTACTTAGAGCCTAATGAATACTCAAACAATTGTCTGATGTTAAGCTCCCAGGATGCCAGCGATGACTGAGGTTGAAGATAACTTAGAAAAGGATCCAATAGCAAGCAAAGCTCCTACTGATAAACACAATTGCTTGGTGCCCTTCAGAGCTTAAATTCGTGACCAAGTTACTGCAAAATGAATGCAAATGCACTTCAGATGACCCCAGCAACTTACTGTGTATATAATCATAACCCTTAGCAAAGACAGAGGGATCCAAGTGACACAGACATGCAGGCACATAGACAGCAGTAAATGTAGGGCAGAGCCAAGCTGGACATGGCCCCGAAAACCCTTCAAAGTCAAAAATGAGGGGAAAAATGTTCATTTGGTCCTTCCCCATTGATACAGACCTATAACTGTGTCAGGGGCAAGGACTGAGAGGGCAGTCCAAGACATTTCTGCTTGACATTAATGGAATTGGTACTTAACATCTTGGAGGTATAAATTTGGGTTGGCCCTCCTGTAGTTTAACAGTCAAGAAATTCTGAGCACGAGCAGACAGCAGAACTGAGCTGTGTCTCAACACCTGAGAAGTGCTGGGACTGACACACAGCTGTGTTTTACCAAGAAATGTGACATCCAACCTACTTTCTTATTATAAAAGCAGCAGGACCACGTTTTTAAGGAAGAAGATAATTTTAACAGTCTTTATACTTGAGGACTTTCCCAACCATCATACAACCATAGAGTAAACAGATGTACCAGGGTGAATTCGGGTAAAGAGTGACTCAGGATTTCTGAGGCATCACCAAGCACAAACAAGACCTTTGAGATCAATTACTGACTGCTTAAAGTGAAACAGCACTGACAGATGCACTCTGTGTCACAGGGCAGTCACCTTTTTCTCTTTAGAGGTGATTCTTCCTGGAGGTTAGACCTATGACAGTGGGAACATCACAGAAGTGATCTGCAGCCACTTCTTCCCAATTCGTAAGGGAGACAAGTCCATGTGCCCCATTGCCTCTGGGAATTGTTGTCCTATTTCAACATGAAGAGAAGCCAAGTTCCTACGAATTTTGAGAAAATTGGAAGCCAAACAGAGCAAGAAGTTTCTGCTGGTTCCCTACTAAGGGAAGGGCTGACGAACTGAGCTCTCCCTTGACATGAAAGAATTCCCAGAAGGACAAGTTAGAAAGCAGATCTGATTCCTCATGCTGCTTGAGACACAGCTGGCTTCTTCCCCCATTACTCTGTGGTGCACCCTGATATTCTTCAAGCAGCTGAGATCCTGTCCTGTAGGACACTCCTTTCCCAGACTACTTGTACCGGGCTTGCTGGGCTTGACCTTTAAAGATGCTCTGCCCTTATCCAAAACTCGGGGGCAGTTGTGGATTCATAGCTAGAACTCTGTGGTTTTCCTTTCAGAAGAGGGTGTATTTCCTGAAAACCTCCGCTGGGTTTTGGAGCCCAAACTCTACTGGCTTTCAGAGGAGACTTTTCCTCCTCACTGTTTGCGGTGCCTGAAATCCTCTCAAGTCACTTTGTTCCTGTAAATGCTTAAGGACTCCTCCAGCTTTTTAGAGTGCTCTGAACTCTCATCTTCAGGGTCCCTTTGGTGGCAGGTCTGGAGGACACACAGCTAACAATCCACTTCCCTGCCACACTGGGGGATTTGATTCAAAGCCTGACTGGGCAGGAAGCTGAGTCCTGATTTCAGTAGGCCTGCAGAACAACTCATGTCTGCACTATCTGCGAGAGAAATTCTTAAACCTTTGCTCACAGTGAGTAGCAGCTGACACTGTTAATCATCGTAGAGAAGAAAGGAGGGGGGTGGAAAAATGTCTGCCTTCCAGCTCTCTTGCTGAGGCCTTAGAATGAAAACTTCCCTCAGCAGGGGCTGGTTCTTCTCCAACTTCCTTCATTGTTCCTTTGAAGCATCCTGCTCTTAGATCCTGTTGAAAACAAGGTACTGGTAGACTTACCCGCTAAGTTATGGTCTCCCCCAGGTGACTAAGAAAACTGCAGACAATGCAAGTGAGAATCCTTCCCATATCTATTATGAAATGACCCTGTGAGACTGGAAACACTGAAGCAGCCTAACAGTAGGACAGCGTACCAGCACAGTATCAAAGCCTCCGAAACAGAAGTTCCCCAGATTTTCCAGTGCTCCCTTGTTGTTCAAAGACTCCTACTCCATCAAAGCTCAAACTGTTGCAGGACCAACAGATCACGTGAGAGGCATCAGAGGATTATTAATTTGAAAGAAATGGGTGGAAAGTGTGTCAAGCACGCCCAATCTTTGAACTGGGTACTTTAGAAGAACATTGCAAAATAAAACACAACTGCACATTCATTTCTCTTTAGAAAGAACATATTGCACAAAGCCACAAAAGTTACATGACCTTCATGTGAAGGAGAACAGAAAGACCAATCTTCACTCATTGCAAATTGGCTTGGAAAGGCAACAAAGCGATGCCAGTTTTCAACAGCTGAAGATACGACCAAATGTCTGCATTGCTCAGAAGGCGAAACTGTGGGGCCTATTCATTGCAAACGCTTCTGGGCATATGTTAATCAGTGAGAAACTTCTTTCCAGAGATGATTATGGTGGAAACAGAAGCCCATGATTTTGGCCTATTGTGAAGATTGTGCCTGCCTCTAAACATGCAGTGGAGGGTGGCATCTATTAACTGCATCTGGCTGCAGAAAAGCCTACGGTCTCAGAGCTGTTTCAGTCTGGTAGCTTCCATTTACCTGCAGCACTGTCCTCTCCAAATCCCTGTCCAGAAGGCAGGCAAACAGCAGGATAAATGTTTTTCCCGTTGACACTGTCTGGTCCAGCAGCACTGATGACACAAGAGGGATCCCTGACTTGTCCCCATTCTGGCATCTCACAGGAGAGATACAACTCAGAGCCTCTGAAATGAAGGTTGCTGTTAATGTGCCCTTAAAGGATAATGACACTGGCCATCTGCCTAGAGGCCACAGCACAGGCTGTGCTTTGTTTAGGATCATTTCCTTCTAAAAGTGAAAGAGGATGTTCTGTATTTTCTACAGTGACACAGAGACTGAAAGGGGAACTTTATTTTTGTAGAAAAACCCCACTGCTCCTGCTGTGGCAAAGGAATGAATGGTGAACATCCATTCTATCCCAGGTTGCATCACTGGCACCTCTAAAATACCCCAGAACTTGGTAGCACCACCACTGATTTTTGCACCCTAAGAGCATTACAGGACTTTATGTTCATGACACTAGTGCTAATCTCCTATTCACTGACAAAGAAATAAAGATACCAAAAAACGTAACTATGGCCAGTATGACCCAGCAGTCAAAGCAGGAGTAAAAAATATTCAACAATGGGGACAATTGACTTGTCAACTATTTACCTGAGACAATGTAAAGTTAAGACTTCTAGACAATGCTGACAATCTTAAGCAGGATGAGCATATGAAGTCATGCAAATGCATTGCCAAAAAAACCCCCAAACAAACAAAAAACAAACCAAACCAAGCCATCAACAACAAAAAACCCCAACCCAAACACCACCAAAATCAAAAAGAGCACCCCTGAAAAAAAAAAAAAAAAAAAAAAAAAAAAAAAAAAAAAAAAAAAAAAAAAAAAAAAAAAAAAAAAAAAAAAAAAAAAAAAGTCCATCTACATAAATGCCAGCTAGATCTTTTATTTGCTCCGGAAAAACTCTTGGCAAGAAAGCAGCACTGGCCTGGCCCCATACAATTGCACATGAGAGAATTCTGATTCCCTCTAGTTTTGATAAGGAAATTGTAAGCAAGGAGATATTTTGTAACCAGAATTATCCACACACAAACATTCAGCAAGGGATAGTCAAAACATCAATAGGAAACAGATCTCTAGACATTTCTATTAATAAAATTAGTACGATTCCTCACACTTACAGGGGCACTGGGCCCAGTGGGACAGGAGCCCTTCTGTCCCCAGTTCTTAGGTGTGCTGAGTGCTGGCTAAGGTAGGATAGTCCCTCCCAAGGAGGAGGGATCCCAAAAGAGCTGTAAAGTGCAGGTCTGGCTACAAGGAACACCACCTAACACATTCCTATGTTATACAGCAAAAGACCTCAAATGCTCAACGAGGAATGTCAAAACCAGGACACAGTTCACAGCAGCTGAACCTCTGCACCTCTGAGTCCAGGGGCCCTGCCCCAGAGGGCTGAACTCAGATACCTCTCAAGTAGAAAGCAGAAGAAGGCTTAGGTGGGTGGATACCACCCTGACAGCCCAACCCTTGGGCAGGGGACAGCAAGAGCTGCAGGAAGCAGCA